GGAATGGAGGAGCTTTAGGGCTTCTTCTGTGTTTGTCTTCTCAATGACTAGAGCCCTGACCTGTACTTTTTCTCTAGTCCCCTTTCTGCCTAACACAGCACCAAACACCATGTGGACCCTGAGCCCCCAGTTGCTGAACAAATGAGTAAATGCCCACCTCCCTTTACAAGAAACTGCATAGCTCAAGTTTTCATGGTTTCCAACTCAAAATTGGTCTATAAGTGGGACCTGGGTGGCTTAGTCTGTTAAGCACCTGACCCTTGATCTCAGCTCAGGTCTTGAGCTCAGGGTCATGAGTTCAAGTCCCACTTTGGACTCGACACTGGGCATGAAGCCTACTTTAAAAAAAAAAACAAAAAACTGGTCTGCAGAGTCATGTTTTCCCCCTTTCTCCTTCTCCCGTTATCCCCCGCAAAGCCACTTGTGTTGAGATGGAGGGAAGGGGACTGGGGAGTGAAGCCTCTGGGACACTTACACCACCCCCGCCATGCACCCATGGGGTGAATTTTTTTCCTTCCAAGAAGCCACAGAAGCACTGTTGCTATTTCCGCATTCCAGAAAAAGAAACCCGAGGTTCGAGGAGGTTGCATACCTTCCTCCAGAACACATGGCTAATGGTCCAGAACTCACCTATGACCTGTTTGCCTCTGAAGACCCTGCCTCACGGAGGGACAGGAATCAGCAGGCACCGCGTGATGGCAGCAAGCCCCGCACACGTCATCAGTACCCAGTAAGTACACAGTGAATAAGCCAGTAAGTGAATGGATGAGATTGTTTCAAGGAGAGGGTTGCTAATGGGATCTGTTGCTGCAAGACCTTACAAATAATGGGTATTGAAAAAAGGGCTAGGAGACTTGGCCATTAAGTCTGAGTTATTAAAAAAAAAAAAAAAGGAATTCACCTATAAAAAAAAAAGGAATTATAATCTATATTAGTCTGCTTGGGCTCCCATAACAAAACACTACAGACTGGGAGACTGGGGACTTAAACCCCAGAAGTTTATGTCTCACGGTTCTGGAGGCTGGAAGTGTGTCAGCTCAGACAGGGTCTAGTGAAAGCCCCCTTCCTGGCTTGCTGATGGCCTTCTTGCTGTGGCCTCACACGGCAGACAGAGTGAGCTCGGGGTCTCTTCCACTCCTTATAAGGGCACTAATACTATCATGAGAGTCCATGTTGTAACCTAACCTAACCATATTTACCTCTCAAAGTCCTCCTCTCTGAATACTATCATAGCAAAGTTTAATGCTCAACACAGGAATTTGAAGAGGTGGGTTGGAGGGGGGACACAAGCATTCAGCCCATAACATCCGTTACTAGGAGGTTGGATTACATAAGTCATGACACATCAACACCATAGGATACTCTGCAGCTTTTAAATAATATTCCACTATTGTGGTTTCAACAGGAAAGAAAACCATGACATAAGAAGTAAAAAGAGTCGGGGCGCCTGGGTGGCTCAGTGGGTTAAGCCTCTGCCTTTGGCTCAGGTCATGATCTCAGGGTCCTGGGATCGAGTGCCGCATTGGGCTCTCTGCTCAGCGGGGAGCCTGCTTCCCCCTCTCTCTGCCTGCCTCTCTGCCTGCTTGTGATCTCTCTCTCTCTCTCTCCGTCAAATAAATAAATAAAATCTTAAAAAAAAAAAGAAGTAAAAAGAGTCATGTTATAATGCAATTATACAGCATGGCCTCATTCTTTTTTTTTTTTCAAACATATAATGTATTATTTGCCCCAGGGGTACAGGTCTGTGATTCATCAGTCTTATACAATTCACAGCACTCACCATGGCACTTACCCTCCCCGATGTGCATAATCCAGTCACCCCATCCTTCCCCCCACCACCCCCAGCAACCCTCAGTTTGTTTTGTGAGATAAGAGTCTCTTATGGCTTGTCTCCCTCTCAATACCATCTTATTTCATTTTTTCCCTCCTTTCCTCCCACAACCCTTCCCCCCAGCCCTGCCTCTCAAATTCCTCATATCAGAGAGATCATATGATAATTACCTTTCTCTGGTTGACTTATTTCGCTTAGCATAATACCCTCTAGTTCCATCCATGTCATTGCAAATGACAAGATTTCGGGTTTTTTATGGCTGCATAGTATTCCTGTGTGTGTGTGTGTGTGTGTGTGTATACATCTTCTTTATCCATTCATCTGTTTATGGACATCTAGGTTATTTCCAATTGTGGACATTACTGCTATAAACATTTGGGGGCACGTGCCCCTTCAGATCATTACCTCTGTATCTTTAGGGTAAACACCCAGTAGTGCGATTGCTGGATCGTAGGGTAGCTCTATTTTCAACTTTTTGAGGAACCTCCATGCTGTTTTCCAGAGTAGTTGCACCAGCTTGCATTCCCACCAACAGTGTAGGAAGGTCCCCCTTCTCCGCGTCCTCTCCAGCATCTGCAGCACGACCCCATTCTTTTCAATACCAGGGACAATGCATACTTGGCAACACCTGGATCCTGTGGTCCAGCCCGACCAGAGGGCAGGTGGAGCACTGAGATTTTGACAGCCGCTCCCAAGCTACAACAGGGAAAGAGGTGCACTCCTCAATACAAAGAGGGAGCTGAGTAGACAAAAAAAGGAAGAACTAGCAGCCATGTCTTCATCTCTTGCGTCCTTACTTCATGCCAGGCCCGGTTCTACAAGCCCTGAAATGTGTCATCACATTTAACCTTCACAGTGCCCTTTGAGATGGGTGCTCTTACTCCCACTTCCTACAAGGAAGGAAGCAGAGACTTCATTGGAGTCACTTAGCAAAAGTTCGTGGCAGAACCAGGTTCTAAGCTAGGCCTGGACTGCACCAAATCCATGAGGCTAACCACCAAACCCTAAAACAACAAGACCTTCCCTTCACTGTGTCACTCGCTGCCAGCACGGCAGCGGGCACACAGAGTCATCAGAATAATAAATGCTGATTGAAAATGAACAGAGAGGGACACAAAAAATGATAGATGGGCTGGGGTGGTTGGTTTTGCCTTGGGAAAAGGGACAGAAACAGATGGGAGGACTCCAGACAGGTCAAAAACATTTGGAACAGTCATTGCATCATCTAAAAAAGAAAGAGAATGGGAATAAAAATGCTCTGGTCCACAGGAAGACTTAGGTATGATCAGAGAATATGCCTTGGGAGAAAACTCAGCAGTTGCTCCCAAACGCTGCCCACTCTCCATTTTAACACAGTCCCTCTGCCTGGGCTCAGGAATCTATCCCCCACATTACTATAGAAACAAGCCACATGAGTAAACACAGACCCCCGACCCCAGAGCAGATTAATAACATGTTCCCTTAGAAACCGGGAAAAAGGGGTTCCTCTGATGGAAGGGAGGAAACTTTTCCTCAGCACTTCACCCCCTTCCTCCTCAACACTGGACACACACACTCAAGTGACCCACTTCCCACTTGCACACATGCCCTCCCGTGTTATTCACTCTCCACCACACATGCACACACAGCCCCCGTGGCGCCATCTGTGAGTTACCACCTCACCTCCCAGCAGCCATTCCCTCTAGGTATCTGCCAAGGGAACCTCAACTGTGTTAGGAAGACAATGTGAGAACTGCTTTGCCAACTCTGCTTCCTTTTGCCAGATTCCCTTGCAACTAAGAGTGATCATGTGACAGACAGAGTTCTAGCCAATGAGACAGAAGGGGCTTCTCGTGTTGGGAGGTGGGGTGGGAGCTTCTAGAAAGGGTTTTTATTTGCTGTTCTACTGAGTTTGGGCAAATTGATCCCATCTCTTTCCAGAACCTTCCTGGGAGCAAAGCCAAAGTTTCCCAGACTCCTTTGCAGCTGGGCTTCTGGATATGAATTCATTTCTGCCGATTGGATGCACTTGCACAATATTTTGAAGGCAGAAACGGAGCAGAGGCATCTCCCTGTGGTTTGAGCTCTTTGCTGCTGCTAAACAAGTTTGCAGAGATTGGGGGTTTCCTGCAACAGAATTCAGGTGCCGGTCGCCAGGCCATGGGTGTGGACAAGAAGTTGTGGCAGAGTCAGCAGCCCGACTGCCTTTCCAGGGTCCAGTGACCTGTTTTGTGGGAGCTGGAAAGCAGTGCTGCACCCTGGATCAGAGCTGTGGCAGTGAGTTCTAGAGCACATTCATTCCACTGGCCAACTCCTGATGCTCACCTTGCCGGTTGTTACAGGCCAGTGTTGCTGTGTCCAAGCAGTCTCTCCTGGGGAAGAGCCTAGTGCCCACTCCTCTAGCTTTTCCAGTTATTTTCCAAGCACTAATTCCCTGTGCTAAATTATTTTCTGCCTAAAATAGCGAAGATCTAGAAACATTTAGAATCCTCTAGTTTCAACCAAAAAATGCTAAAGATATTGGGCATGAAAAGTGTATGAAGATGCCTCAGGGAAGTCACCATTTCTTTGAAACTCAGTTCTTCTGTAGAATGGAGACCAAAGATGATTATTATCATTATCATCAGTTAATAGTTATTGAGTACTGTGGCAGATTGCGTCTCTCAAAGACGGTCACAACAGTATTTCCCATCCCAGAAGCCTTCCACAGGTGACATCGCCACTTTCCATCACGTCGGAGGAATCTAACCCCTCGCTCTTGAATCTCGGCTGTCCTCTGACTCTCTTCTAACCAAAAGAACACAGCCGAGCCGACACCGCCTAAACTCCAAGGATATGGAAAAGGCACGAATCTCCCGCCCGGCGAACTCTGCCTAGCGCTCGGGGTCCGGTCCCGCCCACTCTACTCGAGGCTGGAGCTCCGGTGGGGCGGGGCGGGGAGGGGCCTGGGAGGAATCTCGCGGCTCGGCCCCGCCCACTCCGCGTGCGCCTCGGGCTCCCGAGGGGCGGGGTCTGGAGGGCTCGCTCCGTTCCGGCCCCGCCCACCCGGCGTGCCGTTCCGGAGAGGCGGAGCCGGTGGGCAGGGCCAGGGACGGATAGCGCGGCTCCGGCCCCGCCCACGCCGCTCCGGTCTCCGGCGGGCCCCGCCCACCGGCGCTCCTTTCCCCTGCTGTTCGCTGCGCCGGCGGCAGCGCTTAGCCGCGCGCCATGGCCGGGCTGCTGGCGCTCCTGGGCCCCGCCCGCAGGGTGGGCGCCCGGGTACGGCCTCGCGCTTCCTGGCTCCTGGGCGCCGCAGCCCACTGCGCGCCGCGCCCCCTGTTGCTGCCGCTGCTCCGGCCCCGGCCCGATGCCCCGCTGCTGCGCGCGGTCGGCGGGGACAGCCGCGGCCGCCAGGTAAGCCTCCCCACCCCCATCCCGGCCCCCGGGCGCCCGGATCCCGGTCCATCTTCGCCAAAATAGAGCTTTAGTCGTGCAGCTCTCTAAGACCTAGACACCCCCACCCCCTCCAGGGCTCCCGAGGCCCCAATCCCTACAAGCCAAGGAAGCGATCCTCCCAGTTGACAGCTGGAGAAACTGAGGCTCAGGGAGGGCTGGTTATCTGCCCAAGGTCACACAGTCTCTGGCAGAGCCCCACGTTCCCACAGCGTGGGCCGGCACCGTGGCGGTAGCCGAGAGAATTGTAACTGGGGCCTGGACTTGCTCTCAGCGTGCTCACATGGCTGTCAGAGTTGTTTCCCCTTCAAGCAGCGCCGGATCCTCCACACGGGGCCAAGGAGACCGGCTCCGGGGGTGCTGCTGTCTCGAACACCCCCATCACTTGCTGCTACTCCCTTGTTATCTAAGCAAAAGAGCAGTCCTCCCTGCAGGGCTTCGGGCGAGACTCAGGCAAGAAACAGTGTTCTGTCCTGTTTCATCTTGGTTACCTTCTTTATATGATACATGAAACTGGTTTCCCTTCAGAAGGTAATCCCCCGACTTTCTTTAAAAAAAAAAAAAAAAGTTTAAGTTTTTTTGTTTTTGTTTTTTTCTTTTGAAGTTTGTCTCCTTAAAGAAAAACGGTAAGTAGCTCAGTCTGGAGACACAGGACTGACGAGTTGGAACACGCAGAACCTGGCCTCCTGCAGTCCATTTCTTTGCTTAAGGATGGGATCCCTGTGCCTGCACTCACTAGCCTGTCACCTCAACCCACATAGGCTGCAGGCTCTGAGCCTGTTTGCTGACCTTTCAAAGGGCTACAGATAGCAGCTTCCCAACAAGAGTTGGGGGACTATTCCATGAGCTGAAGCAGGCCTGAGCACAGTGCCTGTGGAGCTTCCTGAATGAATGTTGCATGGGGATTTGACTCACACCCTTAACATGCCTCCTGCCATCTGCTCCCCCATCGAACGGCAGCAGATCTTGTCTCTAAACCTTGAGCCCTCCACACACATCTGGCCTCCTCCTGGCGATTCTTTATGGATCAGTCCCTCTGTCTCTTCCTCCAGAAAGCCTTTCCTGACCACCAGAGATGCCCTGGGTGCCTCCACTGGCCTCCCTCAGCCCCCTGGGTGTGGATTCTCTCTGCAGTCATCATCTGGAATGGTCTCCTAACTTGCTTGTCTGTCCCATGAGCCACATCAGTTTTGCCCCCAGCAGAGGCCCTGGCACTGGCAGGGGTGTGTGTGTGTGAGCACGCGTGAACATGCGTATGTGTGGGCATGATATGTGCATATAGTAGTAACGAGTGTGGTCTCAGACTCCCCATATTCCTGTCTATTCAATCGTTCTGTGGCCTTGATCAGATTCCCCCACTTCTCTGTTTCTCAGTTTCCTCGTCTGTAAAATGGGATGTTAACAATTCACATTTCTTAGAGCATGAGTGTGAAACCTGCCATCGGGGACATTCTAAATTAGTTAGCTATTGATGTTACTGTCGCAATAAATGTATAAATCACGGGGCCCCATGAGCTGTGCTTGTTTCTCCTGCTATCTGGTAGATGGGAAGGATCCAAGTGGGGTCAGAACCTAACAGGATGTTAGGGCAAAAGATGCTCATTACTCAAAGTGTCATCTTCTTGAGAAAATACATCACCGTTGGGGCCTGGGAGCAGGTGCAGGGATCTCCCCTGTCAGCTGCTCCTGGCTACCCACAGGCACCTTGTTTTGGGCCATTGGGAGGAGGGAGTGCAGCTAGAGTCTCCAAACATGCCAGGATTTTAATTAAGTACCTGAGAGACCTTCCCACGTCTGCCTCAGTGGGGTCTCCACTCTAACCGGGAGGAAGGAGGTAAAGCCACAGGAGAATCCTGCCCCTTTCACTTAACCTGATTCGTGTCATGTCACCTCGCAGAACAGCCCAGCCTGCCTACACTTAAACACTACAGGAGGGAAATCTTAGGCAAACGATTGGCTCTCGTTGAGCCCCAGTGTCTTTTGTCAGTTCTTGCTCATGTGCTGCCTTTTCAGGGATCCCCTCCTTAATGACCTTAAACTGGCCGCAATCCCCCCGACAGTCCTGCCAGTCTGCCTCCCCTCTGTGGTGTTTCTCCATTGCACTTGTCCTATCTAGCAGCCCTGATACTTTCCTTTTCTGTTTATTGTCGCTACCCTCCCCCACTAGACTTGGGCCCCCTGACGGTAGAGTTCTTTTTCATTCATTGTTCTGTCTCCCCCAATTAGAGCAGCACCCCTCATAGAGCAGTTATCCCTGAATAAGTGAGAAGCACAGCATAGTTGTTAAGAGCAAAAGCCTTGGACCCAGTAGGTTTCCATCCCACCCCTGACAGGTAATTCCTGTGTGACCCTCTGGAAGTTACTCAACCTCTCTGGGCTTCCAGGCTCCTCTTCTGTTCAGGGAGGATGATAGTAGTGCCTGTCTCACAAGGTTGTTGTGAGGATTATCTGAATTAATATTTTCAAAGTACTCAGAAGAGTGCTTGGTACAAAATAAATACAATGTAGTGTTGTGTTCAGTATTATTATTACTGAATGAATGAAAACAGGTGGTACTCCAACCAATGTGAGCAACTCGTGAGCAACATCTTTGCTTTATTCTTCAAATGTTCTGTTCTTCGAACGTTCCTGCCCCTTCTGAAAGAGCCTTTTGTACCTTAATAAACATTTGGCTTGGGGTTGGGGGGTGGCAATCGCACAGGCACACACAAGGATTTGTAAAGACACTTTGGCTGAGTCCAGACACCAGGGGCGTGTGTCATGTTACAGGCACCCAGGGCAGTGCCTGACGACATAGCACAGGGACTTAGGGGGAATATTTCACAAAGACGTGAATGTCTGAAAAGTTTCCATTCCCTGCAAGCCACCCCCTCAGAAATTCCCTTATTTTAGCTTCTTCAGTCTCTTCCAGGCTTAGGAAGAAAACGACTGGTTCACAGTGCTTGAAGATACTTCCTTTTACCATGATAAAAGGAAGAAAATTGTCCCAAGATTCTAACTCTAGGTTCACAAAGAACCGGCTACCAGGAAGTGGTCCATTGTGTCTGAATATTTTATCCCTCCCATTGTTTCTCAGCAGATGCGGGTCATTCTGTGGCTGGAAGTCTGGCTGCCTCTTTATTTTTCTTTTTTGGCCAAAAGGCCTTTTGCCAAAATAGAAGTTGTAAAGAAAAGAGCCCTCAACAGAGACAGCTCCACTGGGCTCTGGTGAATGGACAGATGGGGCATAATTAAGTTTGGTTGGGCCAAGTGTCAAGGGTGGGAAATGAAAGGGGCTTTCTCCCTCCTCTGCCTCAGAATGCCGTGTGGCACTTGGACTGGGGATTGTAGATTATTGTCCTATCAGGGCCTGACGTCTGGCAGCTCTCCCATAGGCACTGCTTGCTCAGCACCAAAGGCGGGTGGGGCCGTGTTTATCAGAAAGAACCCGAGCTCTGAGCTGCCATTCTGGCGGGCCGGAGGAAGAGGCAGACGAAAGGTTTGAAGAAAAGGGGAAGTCACACGTGCTGGCCAACCTTTAGGAGACTGACTGGTTTTCTGTCTCCCTGCCAAAGCCTTGAAGTCCTGGAAAAGTGTTCCAGAACTTTCAGAGTGTCCAGCTCTTACAGGACATGAAGCCCTGTGGCCGGCCAGCTCACCACTCTCCCGCCCCCGCACCGAACCTCATTCTCCCACCTGTCAAAGTGGGAGCCACAGACGTGCCCACATCATGGGGGTTACCGTGAGGGTTTTTATGAAATGACACCTTTAAAGCGCTAAGCCCAGCACCTGGCTCAGTAGAGGGGGACCTAACCTGAGGACACAGGTAGTTTCCCCAGAACCTTTCAAAGGAAGTTATGCGCCACTGCCTAGCAGAATGCACTCTCTGAGGGGCAGCTGGCTGGCTCCGTTGGTGGAGTCCGCGACTCTTGATCTCGGGGTTGTGAGTTCGAGCCCCACATTGGGTCAAGGCCCCCCTGGAGAACATGCTGAGTGGGGGAAAGCCTGGCAAGGTGAGGCAGGATTGGTAAGCAGGGGTTTACCTGGCAACCCTGGACACCTGATAACAAATCCCAGGCCCAGGCCTCTCCCCAGAACACGAAATCAGACGCTGGGCACCTGGACACAGATACAAGTGGACCAGCATCACCTGAGCCCTCTGGGAGCTCATGAGCAAAGCTCCCCCACCCCGGCCCGCCCCACAGGCAGGGCAGGGGCTCCTGAAGCAGGACAGGGCTGGGAGGTCCCCTGCAGCCCTGGGGAGCCTTGTGAGGTTTGGAGGTGCTGCTCTGAGCCCCTATGTTGTTTCATTTTCGTTTGGGGAGTCCTGAGCCTCCCTCCCAGGGACTCTGGGCATCATACTCCTCCCTCTTGCCTTTGAAATGCTGCTCGGGTGCAGCCTGCTCTAAAAATACAAAGAAAAAGCCATCGTGCTACAAGGCAGAAACTGGAGCTCATTGACCCAGATACTTCCTCCCAGGAAGAGCTCTGAAACAGGTCATTAGGATTCTAGAGATCTTTTCAGAAAAAAAGGCACTCTCCATATTGAGGAGACTTTTTTAAAAGAAATCCAGCGTTCTTGGCTTTTTTTATTTCTGCCAAACATTCCAGGCCATGTAGGTGCTTGATAAATGTTAAGAGAAGCCAAGTCCAGTGACTTGTTTCTGTGCAAATTCAGGCCAGTGCATTTATGGCCCAGGACTTGGCCCTCCCTGTATCTGCTCAGATCTCCAGGGAAAACCTTGATTCTGGTAGTAAATATACCGTAGCTTCTGCTCCATTTTTTTTCTTTTTTTTTTCTTTTTTTTTTTCTCTTTCTTTTTTTTTTTTTGCACCCACTGTCCTTGTTTTGTGGAGTCTAGGATGGTTGTCATGTGCTCAGGCTGTGGACCCCGGTGACCTGGGTTCTAGTTTTGGTGACTTTGGGCCAATTCTTTGGCCTTTGATGCCTGTGTTGCTCTTCTGGAAAGTGGGGAGAAAAAAACAGTGTCTACCTAGAGGGTGGTCATGAGGATGGAAACCGACAGCAGATGGAGAGAAGCTTCTGAGCACTGCCTGGCTGGGAGAGTGCTCAGTAAAGCACCATCAGTGTCCCCAAGTGTGTATGCCCCACAGTTTTAGTTACTGTTGATGCTCTAACAGCTTACCAGGAATCCAGTGGCTTCAAACAGCACATATTTATTATCTTACAGGCCTGGAGGCCCGAAGTCCAAAACAGGTCTCACTGGGCTAACGGCATGGGCAGGGCTTGTTCCTTCTGGAAGTTCTAAGGGAGAATCCATTTCACGACTTTTCCAGCATCTAGAGGCCACATGCACTCATGGGCCGGTGGCCCCTTCCTCAGATCTCTGACCCGGCTACTGTAGTCACACCGTCCCTGACCCCCTGCCTTCCTCTTTTCATTGATAAGGACCCTTGAGATAACATTGGTCCTACTCAGAAAATCCATGATGCCCTGCCTAGTCCCATCTCCAAAATCCCTTTGCCATGTAAGGTAACATAGTCACAGGCTCTGGGGATTAGGACCCAGAGATCTTGGGGGCCATTGTTCTGCCGATCGTACCCGGCACCTAGCCTTTCAGCATGCTCAGTGACGAAGTGGGCACCAGCTGACCGAGGAGGTAGGGAGTAACTGGTCCATCGCTGGGCAGAGGGAGGGTGGAACCCTGCACGATATGAAAGCTCCTGACGGTCGCTAACCGCCTTGCTGCTGCCCCAGAGCATCTCCCCTTCCTCCTTGTGCGCAGGACCCCAGCAAGATCACCGCGACGCCAGCCCCTCCCGTCAGCAGCTCGGAGGAGGAAAAGCAAAGCAAGTCACAGCAGCTGAGAAGGATTTTCCAAGAGTATGGTGCCGTGGGCGTGTCACTGCACGTCGGAATCTCCCTGATCTCCTTGGGGATATTTTACATGGTGGTTTCAAGGTAAGAGCTCTGGCAGGAACATCTCTTTGTTCTTTACGGTCATGTAGGATTCTTGCAAATGAGAACATTTTTCCTATGAATGTGTATTCGTCTAGCTGCTTCCAGCATGTTTTTTAAATACTTTAAATCTGGGCACCTGGGTGGCTCATGGGTTAAGCCTCTGCCTTCGATTTAGGTCATGATCTCGGGGTCCTGGGATCAAGCCCCGCATCGGGCTTTCTGCTCAGTGGGGAGCCTGCTTCCCCTTCTCTCTCTGCCTGCCTCTCTGCCTGCTTGTGATCTCTCTCTCTCTCTGTGTCAAATAAATAAAATCTGAAAAAAAAATAGTTTAAATCTTAGAGCCACATTGATCGACTAATTTAACCCCTTGTGATAATCCTTTTTGTTGTCGATGGTCTCCTTCCGCAGTGGTGTGGACATGTCTGCAATCCTGCTCAAACTCGGATTTAAAGAGTCACTGGTGCAGTCGAAGATGGCAGCAGGCACAAGCACCTTTGTTGTGGCCTACGCCATCCACAAGCTATTTGCCCCCGTGCGAATCAGCATCACCTTAGTGTCCGTGCCCTTCATCGTCAGATATTTTCGCAAAGTGGGATTTTTTAAACCTCCAGCTGCAAAGCCTTGATGAACGCTTCAAACCTGTTTCTTTTAAATAGAAATTTTGGGTTCATTTTAGCATAGAGCTTTTCCGGGGTTGAGGGGGAGGTTAGGAGTAGGGTGGGGACAGGAAGCTAATTGCTATGTTCTCATGAATAAGTTTTCCCTTTGGCAACAAAATTCAGGTTTTTTAATAATTGTAATTATTTTGCTTTACAAATGTTGTTAATGCTGTTCCTCATAGAATTTGTACACGTAATCTAAAATGTCAGTGAAACGTCACAAATTGAGTTGTCATCACAAATTGAGTTGTCATCTCAAAACTGTTCGCCTACAGACGGTCCTTCTGGAAGATGACTGTTGAGGTTCTAGTCTGCGAAAGCCCTCAGGGGTTAATCTTCGCTCAAATTCTTAAAGGGCAACGATTCATTAAGCCGGTTTTTAAAATTCCCCTTCCTCCAGTGTCTGCTGTCAGGCCGCCTGCAGTTTCATGCACAGTATCTACAAAGCAGCTTCCAGTGTTACCGTTAATGAAGCCGAATTTAAGACTTAACAATATGTAATCAGGATCTAAATTAGCGTCAACGCATCGACGTTCATTACCCTTCTTTTAGGGAGGAAGAATAACCAGTATCTCTGGTGTTTCATTGATGCTAAAACACCTTCCAGTCTGGACATTCTCAAATTTCACTGAAGTAGGTCAAGGTCATTTGTCTCTGTTGGGGTAAAAAATGGAAATTCTGTTCAATAGTAATGGCATCACATGGCTTCTGATGGCCTAATCCACAGGTGAGCTTGGACACTGCACTCATGGAAAGCTAAGACAATCTTTGCTTAACCCTCTATCTCTCAAACGTCAGACATTCCAGAACTATCATCACCATGTTTACATTGTGTTGCTACTTATATTTTTTTGAGTTGAAATTGTTATGTAGAAAAATATTTTATATCACTCTCTAAAAAGGAAAATGAGAGGCAGTTGCTGTAAATGGGAGGCAGCTGGGAAATACAACATAATACAAGCCTGGGAGGGAGGGGTCAGGCAGGTGTAATTACCTTCTGTTGAGCCACTTTTACCTGATAAAGGAGGTTTGACCTGAGCTTCCCATCCCCCCCCCCTTGCTGTGAGGGACATTATTAAAAACAGAAACAAGCACACAGATTCAAATGGACATTTTTGTCCCTGGAATGCTTAGGAGCAGGCAGACTGGAGGGAATGCCTTTCTGTGGGATTCATGTAATGCTCCCTTCAGGGCTGTATCCACCCTCAGCACTGTCCACACTGGGACCCCCATTCAACCAGTTCTGCCCTGCCACCCTGGTCCAGGGTGATCCACTTTGTGGGGGGAGGGTTAATTGCAGAAAGGACAATCAGAAGACTAAAGGAACTAGAAATTGACCATCGTGGTTTTACCAACCTGCTGCTGACTGTTCCCTGATTAAGCCTTCGTAACCTATGTCCCTTACTTCAGTTAACTTTTACAAGAAGCTTTATGGAACAAATTCTCCACTTGCAAGATCGTTAAAAGTGGATTCTGGGCCCCCCTCACGGCCGCCCTTTTAAAGCAATTAGCCCATTGCCAAAAGGCTTTATCGATTTCAAATTGGAACTGCCTTTCTGGGATCTAATTCCAAGGACAGTTGGCTTCATGCTCCTAACCACCTTCCCGACAGTCTCCCTACCACTCAGATCCCTAGTAATGCCTATGCAAAAAAAAAAAAAAAAAAAAGTTGACCGTGGGTCCTACAGGTTCAAGGGCTGAAATCTTAAACTTTGACTCCACGTTTGGAGGAATGGAAGTGGGACTGACAGGAAAGCAATAAAACTAGTCACCAAACCAAACAGCCATGGCCTTTTCTTCTAAGCCCCACATCCGCTCCACTCCTGCGGCCAGTGGCCCCAGCAGAACAGAGAACCTGGAGAAGATGAGATCAAAGGATCAGGGAATATGTGACTTCACCAGCGAGATGTACAGAATGCTTGTATTTACACTGTTTTTATGGAACTAGGGAATAAAACATGATCTATTTTAAAAATGTAAGCCATTGTTCACCCGATTTTGTATTTGACCAAATGAGCCGCTTAAATTCCCTGAAACAAATAAACATCTTTGTAGTGTACGAAGAACTTTGGATTCCTCGTTTGGTTAAGCCATAACTGTTGCTGACTAGGAAGCAGCCCTGTGTGTGACTGGTTTGTTAATGGTGCGCTACTACAGTGAGCTACTTTGTTTGCTCGTGGGGGATTCTGGGGAAATGACAGAAGTTTATCTGGTGTCACTGGTAAAGTTGGTCATGTCATATTAACTATCACTTGGGTGGATGGCACATGAAAGACTACTTTGGGAATGTAAAAGTTGGTTAACTCAAGACTGAAAAAGCTCCTTTATCCCGAGGTGGCTAACCGGATGGACACCTGCAGCTTTACTCAGTTGTGTTCTGAAGCTTCTGTCACAGTGTCACCAAAGCTGACATGGAAGTAGTCATTTCTAGTATCTAGTTCCTTTTGTTGAACAAAGGTCAGCCATGAAAGCATAGCTCTGTATTAGTTTTCAGGAACTTCAGCATTTCCAAGGTCAAGTTCACCCTCTTTGGTCAAGGAGATGATGGCAGCTAGAAACAGATATGTAGCTTTATGCACTAGGAGCACATAGTACACGAGATCGGAAAGGGATACACCGGCTCCTTTCGTGGCACCTGCTCATTTCCAGGCCAACAGTGAACCGATAGTGAACAGAATTACCCGTGCAGCCTAGATGTATTTGCGTCCTTATTTTTAAAGTTTATTAAAAGTTTATATACGTGCCATAACTCCAAAGTAATAAATTTTAATAACTTGCCAGGTGTCCCTTGGGAGCCAGATAACAAGGGGAGCAAAGGAATCCTCTACCAGGGGTACTGAAGGGGCAGCAGGCTTGATCCCCCATGGCTGGAAATGAGGGATTCTATTAAGCAAACATTCCTTCAGAGAATTAAGACCCATGCTTATGGGGCACCTGGGTGGCTCAGTGGGTTAAGCCGCTGCCTTCGGCTCAGGTCATGAGCTCAGAATCCTGGGATCGAGCCCCGCATCCGGGCTCTCTGCTCAGCAGGGAGCCTGCTTCCTCCTCTCTCTCTGCCTGCCTCTCTGCCTGCTTGTGATCTCTCTGTCAAATAAATAAATAAAATCTTAAAAAAAAAAAAAAAAAAAAAAAAGACCCATGCTTGTAAAATCAGTTTGCAAAGAATTAGTTTACCCCACATGTAAAGCTCTTTGCATCTTACTGAAAACGTGGTCAGAAGCAGGTATGGACATAGAAGTTGAAGACTTCCTCTGTCCTGACCACCTGCAGCTCCAGTGAACCCTGAAAGTTCCCAGGCCAGGCCAGTTGTACCCATGTCTGCGAACTACTGTGGACGCAACAGCGATTCCCCAGGGTGAGGACCCACCCAAGATTCCAGCTCCATGCTCCAGACTGCGCTCCGGCACTGAAGGTCCGGAGCCTACAACAGAACTCACACTTCCTGGCACATAGGACAGTTGCCAGGATAGAGAGAGGGTGCTGGCTTCATGCTCCTAACCACCCCCACAACCTGACTCCTGGTTCCCCCTCTACCACCCAGTCACAGAGCCCTGTGCCTGCCCCCTGTGCTGCCATGTTTCCTACTGCTCCCTCCCTGGGCTACGGGGACCTCTTGCTGTCCCTGCCTCCACCCTTTCAATCCTCCCTGTCCCTCAAGTCTGGCTCAGATGCCACTCCCTCTGGCTGGTGTCACTGGTAAATTATGATTACCCATCATAATTCGTGGGCTCCCTGACCTTTCCTTCTTCCCCGCCTCTGGTTGGTGGCTACCCTACTAAGTCATGTCCCCAGTTGTCAGAGGGGATATGCTCACAGGCCGGACCAGCTCCAGAACTGCAGCCCTGGCAGCACCACGGAGGGGCCTTCCCACCCTCCCAGTGGGCCCACACTCCGCCTGGCATTTCTCAAAGGGTAGAATGAGCTGCAAAATGCATTATCATTTCAAAGTTAGACACAGGAGAACATGAAGTGTAATCATTTTATAGGTGACTTAATGTGCTTTACAAAAATTAAAACCTCAAAACCATGAAATAAGCCCTTTAACATTTAGAAACAGCTGAGACAGGTCTTCTCTAGCCAAGATGAGGGCAGAGCACACGCTTCTGTATCACAAAGTCTTGGGGGCGACGAGAATTCGCTAACCAGGCTTCAGCGCTCTTGTCTGGCAGACGTGTTGGAACAGAGGGCGGTCCTGAAGGGATGCCACGGAAATGAAGATAGAAGTCGACACAAAAATCTTTATTTTAACATTAAAAGAAAGAATCACATGTTCATCCTGACGGCTTTCCCAGGCTTGGCCACCCAATAAGTTACACACACACACGAAGGGGCTCAGAAGGTTATTGCACGCCTGTGTCACTGACGGAGTCACGGTGATGTGGCCCCTCTCCCCGCAGTCAGACCCCGAGCCGGTCCCCCCTCCACAGGGAGGCCTCGCTCCAGCCAGGCTGTGGGGAGGCTCCAGGTGAACCTCGCTTCCGGGTTGTGAAACTAGTGACATTGTCAATTCCTGTGGCTCCTTTCACTCCAGAGCAGTGTTCACTGGAGTGCACTCTTGGGTGGGGAGACTGAGGCAGCACCTGCTCAGTAGGCCTTTGTCGGCAGTGCCCTCGGGCACGGGGAGGCCTGTTGCTGACACCAGATGGCAGCCCTGCCTCTCAGATTCCTCCCCGTGCACCATTCTTAAGATTGTTTGCTAGTTGATTCTTTGCTTTTTTGGCTACTTGATGGTTTTGATGAATTCGCTATGATCCAGGGGTGTTCTAGTACTTCTTTGAGAGTCGGCCTTTGGCTGGGATTATGTTTCAACAGTCTTGAAATGAGGTCCCTGGCTCCTTCCGGCACAAAGTCAGGGAATGTGAATTCAACCTGGAGTACAACAAGTTGACAATCACAAAACGCAGCTCAGAACAGTGTGGCTAGCCGGCTCACAGGCACAGTTAAGGCTGATAAGAATTCTACCACAAGCAACGGATCATTTCCCATTAGGTCTTACCCGTGATATTCTTTTGTAGGTCTCTTGGTACGTGCTTGCCTCAAAAGGTGGCTTCCCAACAAGAAATTCATAGCAAAGAACCCCAAGGCTCCAGAGATCTACCTTCTCATCATGCATTCGGCCTTCAATCATCTCTGGGGGCAAGTAATCCAGGGTGCCACAGAGAGTGGTTCTCCTAAAAACAGAGGCAGGCTCAGCGTGGTGTGCTCTTGTTCGTATCAGCACAAGAGTGGCTAAACGCCATTCACAACGACACTAACATTGAGTGCGCGCTCCTCCTAGGCCACATCCTGCGCTACGAGGCACGTACGATTTAAATCCCCGGTTTGAGGGGCGCCTGAGTGGCTCAGTCAGTTGAGTGTCCAACTCTCGATTGTGACGACTCAGATCACAATCTCAGGGTCGTGAGATCAAGCCTCACATCGGGCTCCGCGCTTAGTGGGAGTTTGCTTGAGATTCTTTCTCTCCCTCTCCCTCTGCTCCTCCCCGCCCCGCTGGCTCGCACGTGTGCACATGCTCTAAAATAAACGAGTCTTTAAAACAATAAATCCCCCATTTTAGATAGAAAACAGATGGAGATGTGCAACATCACACAGCTAGCTACCAAGTCACACCCCAAAGGTGTCCAACTCCAGAACCTTTTTAAATGATCTAAAAAATGAGAAACTTCAAGAATCCCTACTACATAACAGCAGCCATCAAAATTCTCTGTGAATACAGTTTAGAGTTCCAGATTTGTTTTTACATTACAGACCGGCTAAGCAGCTCAACAGCCAGGGGGCGTGAGTGACGAGAAACTACAAACTGCCACTGAGGAAGCATGCGCTTTGGCCTCGGATACATGCTGCTGCTACCAAAGAGACACTTCAATTTGGGGGTGACCTATGAGGTATTCTTGCCAAAAACACTACGTAGGCCTTTTGACCGACTTCCAATTCTCAGCAATTACAGAGGATAAAGGACCAAGTAACACCATTTTAGGCGAGAAAAGTCCATTTTAAATTGTGGGACAACTGGTGCAAACTTAGACCAAAGAAACACAATCAAATACAACACCCGGATGGACCTTGGC